CCCGCTCTAACTTCTGCTGTTTGTGTGGAGGCATGGTGACGGAAAGCTGTTGCGTATCAAGGATCCATCCCAACACTTCCAGGCGCGTCGAAAAATCGGTGATTTTCTCTCGAGATAGCAGCGGGGGATCATTTGGCCCCCGAGACCCCAGCAATCGGAAATGGTCGGACGCGATCGATTGCACAGCACGTATACAACGGCGACCATCTTCGAAAAACTTCGCTTCCACCAACACTCCATCGTCAACGTAATATCTGATGAAGAAGGGGGACCCAGCGAAACCACCGTCCAAACCAATCGTAGCGCAATCACGCGGTACAGGAACAGCGGGGCTTTGAGGCGGGCGGATTTTAACGTGATTGACCGCCTCCCCGCCAACAGGCGACACCGAAGCTGTTTGGAAGGTGGTATGAGTGTGTGAGTGCTCGAGAGCAGACGAAAACAGCGACCAGAAACCGGGGCTAGACCGCCATCCAAACTGGCATCTCAGGTCCACGACGACAAGGTCCCCCATAGTATATCCAAACACCGCCGCGCGCGACGGGTCGACCAATACCTGCCGAAAGGCCTCACGGACGTCGATTCGGCACAACAAAATCTCCAACTGCACGCCATGCAGTTGTCGCAGAAAAACGATGCGGGACAGAATGTCAAATAACACATGTCCCAACAGACACTCGGGCGCTCGGTCGAAATCGGTGTCAGCATTAACACTCGACCGAGTCCGGGTCCCGGCTTCGAACGTGAGATCATGAATTATGCGGAATTTCGGCTCCTCCACCACTCCGAGGGGGGACACACGCAAATCCAAAATCTCCCGTATAAAGCGGATGTCAAACACCAGTGCTCGACCCAACCGCACGTCTGACACAATCTTATCAGTGATTTGCTCTGTGTATGGTAGCGTGCTAGAGTGGTTGCCATATGCCACTTCATCTTCCAAACACCCGCCCACCGCCACGTCGACGGGGGCTCCCGGGCACAAAGCCCGGAGTAATGGTTCGATGAGCGG